CCGCTTTACCAGTGGCCCAGAACCCCTTGTAGTAACCCTCAGAGGAACCTTCTAGTCACTAACAGCCCCCAATAGTAACTTCCAGCAACCATACATTACTAAACACCCTTTATCCAGCCCTTACAGGAATAAGATGTAGGCCTAAACTCCCACGGACCTAAACCTTTGTGCACCACCCTCGCCACCGCCAAAAAACGGAAGCAACAAAACACTTGACGAACAGCACGGGAATCCTAAACCATAAACCCTAACTCTCCCCCAAAAGCGAAAGCAACGAAATGAGGCCGTGGTGCCAAAGGAGCGCCGAGAGCGCAGCCCACGTCGATGCCGAAGGCATGTTTTTTACTGCAGGCCGCCGTGTGGCCGTGGAGAGGGGGTACGACTTCACTGAGAGCCCAGCGACTTCATGGTTCAGTGTTTAGGGCTTATAGGGTTTAGGGTTTACGGTTTATAGGGTTTAGGGTTTATTGGGTTTAGGGTTTAGGCTTTAGGATTTAGGGTTCAGTGTTCAAAAACACCTTGGTGTCTTTGCAGGGTGTTGGGGACTCGAAGCTGTGGGATTAAGTCGAGGGTCCAGGTTTAGGTTATTATGCAGCGGTTGGTTTGAAGTCACGACTTCCGGCCCACATTGCTGTGCTGTCGCTTCTGGGTTAGCTTTGACGGCCTAGATTCAAGCGCAGTATCAAGGATTTCGTCTGAGGGGCTTCATAATATGGCGCAAGCTGTATTCCCTAATTAAAAGCTGTATTCCTTAATTAAGGGGTATCGGGCTCTCAACCTGAAACCGTCGACTCGGTGCTCGACACAGCATCCCCCGGAACTTTCCGTGGGCCGGCAGGTCAGCTGGTTACACCGCGCGTCGCCTTTGCGAAAATGTCAGGGGGCATGAGTAAGGGGCGTTTGTCTGCTTAGAAGTGGAATCTACAGTTCTGGTGTAAGGCTTTTGGAGTACGATGGCGGTTGCATGGTTCGTCGAGGTTTAGGGGTTCATGGTGCTGCTCGAAACTACGTTTCCCTTGAAAAGGGTTCGCTGGGTCTTTAGAGGTTCTGCCGCAGGGGTTCCCCTCTAGCTGCCTGTTACAAGAGCTTGGAGGTTCATGGGTAGTTATAAGTAGGGTTATAAGTCCCCTAATATGGGTTATAAGTATAGTTATCCTACTTATAACCCTACTTATAACTACCCATGAAGATCCAAGAGGATCTCGCACTCCTGTCTAAGTACTAAGGAAGCCTACCAGTCTCCTCAGTCACTGCCCACGTGGGTAGTTGTCTGAATTAGGGTCGCTTGTAGGGTCCTTTTCACAAGGCTGCCGTACTATATTGGGGACCGAAAAAGGCACCCTAATTTAGAGAACTACCCATGTTCCAACCATGAAGACGGATGCTGGGTACCCGTGCAGTATCGACCATTTTCCGGCTGTGGATTGGTGGGTTTTGCGGTCTCCTCCAAGCAAGACGCTTCATGGTGTCTAAACTCAAAACCCGTAAACCCTAAACCCTCAAAACCATAAGTCCTAAACACTACGCCCACTGTTCCGTCAAAGCAATATGAAGTCTTTCTAAGTGCTTGGAGGCTCATGGCCGGGTTATGGTGGGATCCATAATATAGGTTCCTAGGCTTCTAAAACTTACCACGTGCATGTCTCCCCCTAAACCCTATACCTTATGCGAGTAGGACTAGTCAGACAGACAAAAACTGGCCGAGAATAGCTTGGAGCGGCTCTCAAGCCCAAAAGCTCTAATCCCTGAAGCAATAGATGCTACACCCTAAGCCTTGAAGCCTAATGGGGAGAACGCCTTTTGGCCTGAAATCCTGGGCCCGACGTAGGCATGCGACATCTTGCGGTTCAGGAGTCTGGGCTTAACCATAGGCCCCTAAGTAGTTCCTTTATGGCTTATATTTAGAATCCTATATGGTAATCCCAAAAAGGAACTACTTAGGGCCTACGGGTAGAGTTTATATGGGTCGTCTTCGCGCGGCTTGGCGGGTTTAGAGCATTTGGGCTGCTGGGTTTTGTGTTTTTTGTGTCGCTTCCACGGGGCTGGGATCTAGAAATCCTCATGGGCCCCTGTAATCCTATAATAAGCCTGATCAGGCTCACACTAAGGGGTCTTGTGGCTTAGGGCTTACCCATAGGCCATTATAAGTAGTTCCTTTTTGGGATTACCTAAAGGATCTTAAATATAAGCCATAAAAAGGAACTGCTTAGGGGCCTATGGGTAGAAGGCTTCGGGAAGGACCACGCAACTCTACCTCGAAGACCTAGCTAACTCGGGAGCAGGCCTCCTACTGGTAACGTCGGGGCCTTAATAATTAGAATGTAGGGTTTTGGGGTATACTCTACTATAGTTATACTATAATTAAGGAACCCCCAAAAATAGTATTGATAATTAGTTAGGCTTCTATACTACCTGTAGGGCTGCAGTAGAAACCTGGCGCGTACCAAGACCCGAGCCCCTAAAGCACAGTGCACATAACTCGACCCCTTCGGGGGCGAGTCTAGTGCAAACGGGTTCAGGGAACAGGGTCCTGCCTAACTTGTGGTTTAAATCAAAAATTCAGGGGGTTTAGGGTTTGAAGGGTTGGTGTGAGATTCTTTGGGACTTCGGAGTAGTTCAGTAAGATTGAGGATTTCGGAGGCGAAGCCTTTTGGGCTGCAGATCTTCTATCAACAGCTACAGCCAAAGTGGCAACCACCGGGAAAGCCGTCCTCCAACAGCCAGACGACATCCTCCCGCAAAAGAACCCGCGTGACGCGGCAGAAGGCTAAGATGCTGAGCAAGGGCAGGGCAGTCAACCTCAGTGCTGCGAATCCTGGGGCTTAGGGCTTCTAGGGTGTGGGCATGGGGAGGTTTGTAGTTATTCTGTGATGGCAGCCGAGGAATTTGCACAGGGGGTGGATTGGCAGTGAGGGTCCCTGAATCGGGCTTCGGCAGCCGTTGGAAACCTGTCGTCCTCGTTGTGTTGGCTCATATCCCTTCAAGAAAATACTAGAGACGGATCCATAGCTGTATCATCCGTTGTAGCTCTTTTTTGTTACCATGTGTTTTGTCGTAGGAACCTCACCATAAAAACGCGACAGCTACAGGTATGAATCCATATTTCCATACGTGTGCATGGAGTACATACACACACGCACACAAACAAACATACATGTCAACAGTGACTTTTCGTGACTTTAACAGATAGTACCGGCCAGCAAGCTCACGGGGCTATCCCCAACCAGAGACTTATTAATTATTATAATCCCAACTATGACGTGCGCTAGCACCAGGTGCCCCAAACCCGGAACCTCGCTCTTGGCACCGCGCACAAACGTTGCCCAGGTGGGCAGAAGGTCTGCAACATTGGCGACCTGGCAGACTGTTTCGTGGGCTTCAACAACGGGTTTTTGTTCGTGCTTTGTGGGATCTTTAAGATATTGCAAGGGCTTAGACGGTTTTGCCATTGGGGGCCCAGAGCCCAGAGCCTTGTCTGACAGATGTGGCTCTGTTGCATATCTTGAAGGGTTTTCAACATTAGGCTGTCGGGCTTGGAAGATACAGTGGGGATCAGGTCCGCGGCCTTCGGGCTTCCTTTCTAGGGTACCTTTGTAGCGTTGATGAGTATAGCACGTCGTTAATGCTACCGGCACACATCTGGTTCACCATGCTAGCATGGTGGCGCCGAGATAGAGCTAGAGATACGACATGAGCCCATCGCACCAACTTGTCAATTCAAGTTCAGACACGGCAGCCGTGCTGCCTAATTGCTGAAGGGTCACATGACAATGGTTAGATCCGCTGTAGAGGAATGATCTCACACCTTAAGGGGTCTAGGGTTTAGGGTTTCAGGGCTTGCAGTTTCGGGTTTAGGGTAGCTAGAGGTAGGGCAGCGGCAACATGAAATCAGGCAGAGTCCGCTCATGGAAGTTCTACACAGCACCAAATGGTGAACAGGATATGACATGGCAGGATGTTACTTGGTGTTGGATTTGCAACCATGAAAATCATGAAACCAAGTAGGAGTTTCAATCTTGAGGAATCTGATCTAAACCTGATTCCGATATACAAGGATGTCTACATGCATATCACGTAAGGCACCCTCCTTCCAACCTCAGAGGCAGACCATTCTAACAATCAAGCCCTAAACCCACACCCATAGAGAGAGAGAGAGAGAGCGACATATCGATCTGGACAAACCCTACAATGGTCTTGTGTGAGAAAAAATCACATGCAGAAGTCTATAGTATTAGTCTACGAAACAGTGTGTGTCCGCATGAAGTGCAGACATGTGTGTAGTTGTGTGAACGACTTGTCGTATGCCGCATATGCATGCATGTGTATATATATATGTCTTTAGTATATCTTGATATTATGACAGAGCCAAGATGCACTGCGCATGTAGTATACTGCCTTCTTTTTGAAAGGTCGATGGTCGCTTCGTCTTCTCTGCGTGCATCCGGCAAAGCAGCTAAGAAGCCAGCACTCCAGGTTCTTGCGATGCAGCGCAGCGCGCGTGCGTACTGCAGCGTCATGGCATGTCATGGCCGCCTCTTTCCGAAGAAGGACTCTGAGCAATGCCAGCGGGTCACTTCAGATTCCGCTTATTATCGATGCCCAGGCTGCGCTGATGGGGACATTGCAGGCAGCGCCGTTGACACGCAGATGACCCAGTTCCTTCGGGGTGCACCGAGTCTGGAGCGGCATAGACTGGGGTCCGAGACAGTGTGCTTCAGGCAATGCCCTCAATCCTCATTCATACATGGGGAGTGTCATAATATGTCATAACAAATACAAGTCCCCTTGCACTTCATCCAGTGGCTGACCGCTTCAATACAATTCAGCAGAAACCCTACACGCAACAGCCCTCAACGAACAATCCTAGACCCGAAATGCTGCTTTGCCCTCGGCCTCTGAACCCTAAAACCGAAAGCACATTGCATTATTGAGGACCTATACCGGTTCATTTGGGGTTCAGCTATACCCTAAACCCTAAACCCTAACCTCCGCGTGAGCTTTCACAGCTCATCCAGAAGAGCATAGCCGCGGTATTTCCGAGCGAGGCAGCGGAGTCCGACGTAGCCAAAAGCCGTCACCACCTGGGGTACTTGGAGGTTCATGGGTAGTTATAAGTGGGGTTATAAGTCCCCTATTATGTATAGTTCCCCTACTTATAACCCCATTTATAATTACCCATGAACCTCCAAGTAGGGCCATGTAGGGCTGAGGGTAAAACAGTGATTTAGTAAGGGGTCTTGGGGTCTTGGGGGGGACAGCTCAGGGTGTTTCACATTGTTGGGGTTTCGGCGGAGTGGTTCTCAAGATTCCAAGTTCTTCGCAGAGCCCTCAGACTCGCTCACTGCGCAGCTTTACATGCAGCAGCTAGAGCAGATTTCTTGAGGGCCGGATTCGAAGGGGTTGTGCAGTCTGGATGGTTTCGGGATGTTGCCGTCTGAGCCCCTGGCGCAGTACAGAACCAGGCTCTTCACATCGTCATCTTTGCTGATCAGCGTAACGACTTGGTCCAGGGCTCCCCAGCCTCCAACCTGACAAATCACTGATGGAAGCTCACCGAATCAAACACTTACATGGTTGCGTCAGTCAAGACAGCACCTTCGTTTGTGTTGGCCCCACAGACACCAAAAGGGAGCCGGACCCACTGCGGCAAGCTTGGAGAGCCAGGCTACCAGCTTTTTCTTGCATCCAGTCTCGGGGGTAAATTCGAAGGATAGAAAACATGACAACATGGGGATATGCATCCAAGTTCGGGTCATGTGCGAGGCATTGCGATGCCCGGCATGTTCGCTTGCCTTGACCTGGAAACTGCGAACCCAGCATCTTGAGAAAAGAAACTTCCCATGTCAGTAGCCTGGCTCATGCAAACTCCAGCGCCCAAGTTAGACTGCCAAAACGCACCCGAAATGAATTCGAAACAGCAGATCCCCAGCGGAAACATAACTTCCACGGCCCTCTCCCGACTCCAACTTGGCTCAAGCGAAACCCCTGATCCCTCGTAGCACTCCTACTTGTTGCAAGGCGAAGGGACCCACAAGAGGAAGACCAGGAAGAAGGCCAGAAACTTGACCTTCAGGGCCCGAAGCGTTTGGTCAAGTCCGTGCTTCAGTTCACACTGTGTTGATAGAGACCTATCTGTAAATATAGACATATAGGCATATATATATGCATAAATATGTACATGAGATACTTATGTATGTACAGAAAACTGATAATAACACAGACAAAACAACAACAACAACAACAATAATAATAACATTAAGAATACTCAGAATAAACAAACACATAAACACGAAAACACATAAATAAATAACTCTATCTATCTATCTATCTATCTGTCTATCTATCTACAATATCTATATATATATATATTTATATTTATATTTTTATTTATATTTATATTTATATATATATATATTTATTTATATATATATGTATATGCGTATACATATGTGTAGAGGACTAGGAGCCCCTATCTTGCATTTGAGACAGGGCTGTGTAGGATCCAGGCAGTAGAATATTGATTAGGAGGAGGAGGAGGAGGAGTGGAGCGGCAGTTAGTAGCAGTAGCAGCCGCTGTAGCTAGGAAAGACACAGCATTTCAACAGCGGATGTGTGCTGTCCTGCCTTGCCGGGAGGCAAAGCGTTCGGGACATCCTCGGGATTCGCCAGAGATGTGGCCTTACATCATCGCTGTGCTGGCACCAACAACTCGTTCATCATGCTGAAAGAAATGCTGATTCAAGCCTCAACCAATCATCACCCTTAACGCAAAGTCTCGTCGGACCATCAACCCTTAACACCAAAACTCCCTAAACTCTTAGCCCCCATACTCGGGGATGCTGGCAAAAGACACCCCTGTGCAGCTCAGATGCGGGTCGGTTTGACACCGCCTCGACAGGAGAGCGCCAAGTTGGGGGTATGGATGCGGTGCGGGTATCGGCTTAAGTTCAGAACCCCAAAATGCAGTCACACTAAGGTACGGATGTTCAGCCGTGTCATCGGCAGCTCTCTGTCCCAACCCTCAGCCATGATCGCTCTGGATTCGACGAACTCCGACTCCCGAGCTGATCGCCCTGTATGTGGAAGTTCAGAGGTGTTTGGACACCGAGTTATTGCAAACAGACAGGCAGTCATATAAATGAATAAACACACGAAACAAGAGATCAAATAAATGCAACAGAAATATAAAGTACTAAACCTTTAGACCATTAAACGAACAAACCAACAAACACACAAATAAACGCACACAAACAAGCAAGCAAACAAACAAACATGCAATCAACCAACCATGCAAACACACAAGCAAGCAAGCAATCACACAAACAAACCAACCAACCAACAAACAAACAAACAAGCAAGCAACCAACCAACCAGCCTAACAAAAACACGCAAACACACACACACACTTACTAACACACGCACACACACACTAGCACATACATGTATGTAAATATAAATACATACATACATACGTACATACATACATACATACATACATACATACATACATACACACATACACACATACCTATCATTGCCACTTCATAATACGTTATATTGAAGCATACTAGGTTATGTAGCCTTGTGCTTTACCATACTGTGATGTAGTTCATTACATTAGTTTTGTTATGTTGTATGAAATCCCTTCTACTATGCCATATCACATAAACAAGCATAGTAGATTAGGGTTAGATGAGGGTTGAGTAGATTTAGCTTAGACTTGACTGTATTAAACCAACTTATACAATATATTCCATTGTTTATAGGTGATAAGCAAATCATGTCAATCACCAAGGCATACCCAAACAAAGATGGCAAGGGCTAGTCTAACCCTATCTGTCCTGTGCTAGGGAATTTTAGTACAACATACTTGTATAAACATAGAATCTTTAAGACGATATACCGTAAGACAATAGACATGTAATTTGCTGCGATACATTACATTGAATTGCAATATGGGGCAGTACAATCAACGCATCAAAGCTATACAGTCGTCTGTATTACAAAACAATACATAGACTCAGATATAGATATAGACATAGATAGATTTAGATATTGTTGTGGACACAGACAGACGCACAAGCTAGTGATGTAAGCAACATGTAAAATAATGCAGCACAAAGAATGCATTGCTGACAACAGCGATATCGTTGTTACGTATAGTTTCGTTATCGACAATGTGAACAATTGTAGTCACAAACACTTCGTAAGCATGATAGTGAAAATATTATCGTACTAGACGTCGTAATAGGGATAGTCACAGTAATGACAGTACTGGTAGTAGCAAAAACCAAGTGATAGTGGGAGTGATCGTCATCGAAACCTTGAGCGCAAAAGAGCCAGCACGAGCACTAGCAACAGAAATCATAATCATATAAGATAATAATGGCAATAGCAATAGCAATCGCTACAGTGTCTATGTGTGTGTGTTTGTGTGCATATCTGTGTATCTGTGTATGTATGTATGTATGTATGTATGTATGTATGTATGCGCATAACATGACAAGCTATCACGCCTGTAGCCAGCTACACGCACAAAACAGATGCCTGCCTCCTCCGGATCGTGCTCTTGGTGCCCCAGCACGTGGGGGCTCGTGTCTGGTGACTCCATGGCATGGGGATGTGTCAGATTATGGTTAGGGTTAGGGTTTAGGGTTCAGGGTGAGTCTGGGGTTTGCTTCTCTCTGCTGCAGACGTTGTTCGTCTATGCTGATCTATAGTTGGAGGTGGGTGTCAAAGCCAAAAGCATGCACAGCAGCCGCACCCCTGAGCTGTACGGCTGCACGGATTCATGCTGGGGTCTACGGTGGGAAAACCCAAAAGCTGGAAAAGGCCCAGCAACAGCCCGTGGCTGCTTCTTATGTCATACCTAGCCCAAAGACCCCCAGATGGCCCGAAGTCCTCATCCCAAACCCGATGCCTAAAACCCCCACTCTCGCTACGTGGACGGTGCGGTAGGTTCATCATAGGCTGCCTTCTTCTGCACCGTTCCCGAGCTAAAGCCACTCTGGAAACCTAGGCTTCCGCTGCTTCCACACGCGCCAGGGTTCGCAACAATGGCCCTCCAAGCAAACCCCAAACCCCAGACTCTCCAAGAATCGCAGACTAAACTCTTAGGGCCGTCTGAGACATCGGCAGGTAGTGTAGATGACACGATCCCTAACATAACGGCATCGGCTCACTATGCAGGATTTCAGGTTCCGGAAATTTCAATTAGAGTGCGGCGAGGATTCTGGCTATGGGGCTGACAGGTTGCTCCTTGAGGCTTATTGGCTTGAGATTTCGAGGGAACGAGCCCGAAGTCCAAACTTTGCAAGCCAGAAGATGAACATGCGAGCTGCAAGCAGTTACGAATTCAACAATGGGTGCGGAGGTAGGGGCAAGAGCTTACTAACAAACGTGCAAGTCTCTTGGGAAGTATAAAATGTGCAGAGGCGCCTTGTGCAGCTCCGTTGCGAGAGCATCGGGGAGGTAGTCCACATGGTCGTGCCTGTACATCCAACTCGGTCATGCGTGGCACGGCCACGTGACACGTGTTGCAGCTGATGTTTTCAAGTCAGCTACCTTGTACCTAGGTCGCAGAAGCTCGTAATTCAAGCCCGGTGTTCGGCTTCGACTTGCACGTCGTCGCACCTTCGGCAAACCTCGAATTCAACACAGTCTAGAACCACCCACAGGCTAAACTCAATGCCGAACCACAAGCTGTCTGAACTCTTAGACCTGCAGCGTGGGCCTATGCCATAGCAGCAAGCAGCATGCCCACGTGAGAGGCAAAGCCAGCCTCGGGATGTCCGCCTACGCAGCTAATAGAAAAGTGAGGTCGTTTTCATTCAGGCCCAAGGTGCATTCTGTGGCTCCTTGTACAAAGACCATGTATACACCTGACAGTTTGAAATGCGTCCCTTTTAGCTGAACATCCAGGAACTGCCTTTCAGCTTGGCACTTTACAATCCTCGTATCTCTTGGCAAAACGGGCTTCTGTCAGCATCATCGCAGACCCGAACAGAGAAAGCTTGCCGCATGCCTGGAGCACCTGGGCCCGGTGATCCCAGCGACGGCGACTTCGGCCCAAGATATACGGAGAGTGGACGAGCAAATGCCGAAACTTCTCAGACGAGAACCACCCCAAGAGCAAGCATACCTTCGGATTTAAATTTCTTTCGAGGCTGTAGCCTAAAATACTGGACCAGCTAGAGATCACTTTGGCAACCTCAATCTTCGTCAGCCCCAGATCTTGCAGCCACTGCACCTTTGGCTTCAAGTTGCCTTCGATGCTGTACCCCAAAACGGCGGGAGAGCGTGCAATCACTTTGGCAACCTCGACTTTCGTCAGCCCCAACTCTCGCAGCCACTGCACCGTGGGCGTCAAGTTCTGCCGGATGCTGTAGCCCAAAACTGAGGGAACGCGTGCAATCACTTTGGCGATCTCGATTTTTTTCAGGCCTAAATCTCGCAGCCACTGCACCGTGGGTGTCAAGTTCTGCTCGATGCTGTACCCCAAAACTTGTGGAGATCGGACTATCACTTTGGCAACCTCGACTTTCGTCAGCCCTAAATCTCGCAGCCACTGAACCGTGGGCGTCAAGTTCTGTTCGATGCTGCAGCCCAAAAAAGAGGGAACGCGCGCAATCACCTTGGCAATCTCGACTTTCTTCAGCCCTAAATCCCGCAGCCACTGAACCGTGGGCGTCAAGTTCTGTTCGATGGTGTAGCCCAAAACTGAGGGAACGCGCGCAATCACTTTGGCAACCTCGACTTT